AGCAAAGTAGAAAAATAAGAAGAAGGTAACTGGAACGACGGCATGACGTAAGAGGATTCCTCTCGACGACGAAGAAACCGTCGTAAAGTCAAAATGTTTCCTATACTATCGACCGCTTGATTATGCTAATCCTGCGTGTTTTTAAGCTCTGTGGCCAAACGGTCGACCTACTTCGTGGCGAACCGCCCCGCTTTCCCTGTGAGTAACCTGACAGGATAATGGAGCATCCTGCGAGCGTCAGATTACGTCGAGAGAAATGACGGAAAACAAGCCGATACGAGTCGTGGCAGTGGCAGTCGTCCTTCCTCATCCCAGCATGCAGCTGTAAAATAAATTACCATGACGCGACGACGTATCCTTGGCTACTTCATAACGTCTGATGTTATTGCTTCCTTCGTGTCAAGGTATCGCGTTTACTTGTGAAATTTCTCTAGCCCGGCTCTAGCAGCGAACCATCGTGTTAGAACCACTATGAAATTCATTGCGGACGAAGATCGTAGAAGGAAGTTGAAAAAAAGAAAAAAAAGAAAAATCCTGCCCGAAGAAATCAGATCAAAGAAACGATTATTCAAGAGAAAGCCGAACAATGGGCAAAAGCCATTGAGCCGTTCGGTTCAGTAAACGCCCATAGAATAGATCAATAAACCACTCGATATCTCTCTCGATGCCTCTATGAAGACACGAGGTTGGTCGAAGAAGCGAAAAAAAATTAAGCAGAAATGACCGGATGTGGATAATCCTCGCCGAGTCTGCAGCACGGGCGTCTGAAGACGCCCCGAGAAAAAGGAGCCCTCCTAGAACGTCACTGAAAAAAAAAATAGACGATGCACGTTTCGCAGGATTGCTAGAGAAAGAGAGGAAGAGGGAGCGACGTACACCTTTCTTGAGATCTGGCGGACGCCTAATCCTGTTTTGAAAACTCGGTCTCGCATGACCGTGACAAACTCGACACCTTAAGATAGTTTATGACGATCCCTCGATCTCTCGGAGCCTGCGAGCCGCTATTATCTTACAGCCTGTCCGGATCTTACGGCCGTTAGGTTGGAAGAGCGACCTCCCTTTCTCCCCTTCTACCTAATATTAATCTCCCCTCTCTTTACAACCATTAATTGGGTCGCTATCTGTTGGAGGTAATCGAGCTCGTCGAGCTGAACTTTGAACAAGTACATATTTTGCGCTTTTTGCTGAATACCGCTATAAATCTCGCGAGATTTAAGAATACTGTTTATCACAGGTTTCCAGGGATTCGGAGAACGAGTTTCTAATAGGTTGTTATATCTTTATGTATTTAAACGCAGAAATAAATATTCAGAATATTCATTCTCTTTGAGGATTTTTAGTGAATGTAAATAATTTAGAATGCAAAAAATATGTAAAGTTAAATATAAATTTATAGCGTTTAACTGCATATAAATGTAAAAAAAATGAATGATAACCACTGCTCTCCTGGGAAGACGTCGTATTTGTATATAAATTTCGGCCACGCGGCTATATCCCTCGATTTGCAAGGCGTCGTGGAGAAAATTGAATCCGGCTTGAAAGGAGAAACAAACGGCTGGAAGAGCCGGGCCGGTTGATTTAATATCGCCGTCCGTCAAGACGCGTATGCTTCACGCTCGGTTCACGTAAGACGGACGTCTGCTTTCTTTCCCTCCCCGAAATCTGTCTAGTCGCGTGGCACACAACGCGGGCGTTACCCATCGTTCCCTTCAAAAAAAAAAATAAAATAAAATAAAAAAACAAAAAGGTCCTATCACTGCGCTCGCTGACGTTCCTTCGTTCAGTTTGCTAAGCCGGTAAACTAACTCTCGACGGGTTAAAAAAAATTTCGCCAGCTTGATCGGTTGAACAAGAATTGGATTAATTATGGCATGACCATAATTAATGAACCAAAATTATTTTTATAGTATAGAATTATTTTTTTTAAATAGAGTATAGCATATATTTTTAGGATACAATATTGCGAGAAGAAATTCTTCGATCCGCAAATTTAAAAACGACATATATATATATATATAGGATGTGTGAGTCAAAGCGAGGAGACAGATGAATCATCGAATTCGTTAGGGAAATCTTCCTGAATTTCTCCGTCCGGTTTTGGAACGGATGGCGCAGTTTCGACACGAAAACGACGCGATATCGCGCTTGCACGGATGATCTCATGTCGCGGTTGGTTCCAACCGGATGACACGTGGTATATGCTCGTGCATCCGCGCGCTTCATTGAACATTCTACGCACGAAACATTGCTCAAGCAAACGGCCTCGGTCTCTAGACCGTATAACGCCGACGCCGTCGATATTTATGGATGCAATTCGGAAAGCGCACACAATCGGCCACGAGCTCGCGGAACCCCCGTCGTATTCCTCTCGCATTCATCTTTCACGAACACCACGCACCCCGTATATCCGGAGTTATCGACACGTGCTTTAATTAAATTTATCGATTTCGCGAAATCGTGCGCCTCTACGTATACAGGCGTGGGATACACAACTCGCTGTAAATCTCGATGCTTTTTGCGGTCGTTGTGCCTCCGCGATATACAACGTTACTACAGGGTCTTTCTCTTTCTCTCTCTCTTATAGCGCATTGTTTGCAAATAGAACTCGAATGGGAATTAAACTTGCCGGCAGGTCTGTGTAAATTCGTATCTGCTTGCATCTGCCGCTCTTGAATAACTGCCTCTTTAAATTCCGACGGAGTTTAATATATTTCGGTTAATACGAACGATTAAATAATTCAATACGTAGGAGGAGAGATGTAACACCTTTAGAGGAGTTAAAAAAAATTAATTCGATCATATTTCTTTCTCTTCTCTCGCAAGAGAGAAAGAGAGGGAATTATCCTGCTCTTCTCCTTCTTACATTAATATTCGGCTAACAAATCCAACCGCTGGGACCTCGGTGCGGATTAGTCGGCTAGACGTCTCTTCACGGATTTATCGCTGGAAAAAGACTCGCCGGGCATTTTCATGATTCTGTCGTCGGCTTCTTTGATATGTGGGCGTGTGCCGCGCAAATCGAATCGTCTAGAATCTCATCACGTCCCCGTTGTAATCACGTTTATCCCGCAAGTCTGAGAGATCCGAGGGCTGATTATAATTTATGCTTCGTATTCAAGCACATTACATACATCGCTTCCATCGTTCACGGATTCGCTTCTGCGGCTCCTACATGCCATCGCTTGGCTAGATTACATGGTAATATACTGCCGCCGCAATTTCTGCCTCCGTCAACGCGATAGACGAAACGAGCCTCGCCTCTCTCTCTCTTACACGAGACGTGATGAGTTGAGGGAGTTTGCGAGAAAGATGATATGATTTGTTTTAAATTGCAATTTTTAATATCCAACCGCGTTATTGTTGCGTCGTTTGTTGATTAAAGTCGTTGCGATAGCTCTCTCTTTAACAAGAAAGACATTTTATTCTTAATTAAATCGCCCCGCGACAGATTGTAGAATTCGTCGGGTGAAAAACAAGTATAAAAGAATTGAATTTCCCGAGATGGCTAATTTGCAATCACCGCGACTCTGAATATATACATTTATTCCTACCCTGAATCGCGCGTTCGACTGTCAACATTTTTATTGTACTAATATACGTCGGATTATTGCGACTATAATTTCTGTAGCCAAACATGGTGACACACCGATCCGCCGAGACAAAACGCCCGCCTTTAGTGTTTCGAAACTGTGTGGAATATACACTCTGCTCCGTTCAATACGTCCTCCTTTAAAGGAATTTAAGGGACAATCGTTCCCAAAAATCAGATCAGATCGGTGCGCCAGAGCCCGGCCCCTTTTCGTCGACGTGCGCATATGTACGTGAATATTTCGTCGACACGCCACGGGCGTGTTTTCTCAGCTGGTGCCCCTAACCCTCCCTCTCTCCGTTGTTCCCCGCCACCCCCGCAAGCAGATCCTGGAAGATCCTTTCAGGACACGGTCGGCTACCCACAAAGGACCCGGCCTTTCATACGCACGTTATTATACTCTTTACACAATATCGTTTCAACTCACCCCCTCCCACATCACCAGGGAAGAAATACGCGTTGCCATACGCCTCGGTACTGTATATCCTACGCCCACGCATTGTAACCGGGACCATAGGCAACGAGAGACGTCGACCGAGAGCCGACGAAAGCCTCGAGACTTTCTCGTTTAATTTGTTGTTATAGCTGCTTGAGACGCGGATCGGTTCATTCGTCCGTTTGCAGGATCCCTCAAACATTCATTATATTTTTCTCTTTTTTTTCCGTAACACGTAAGGGACCGCGATTCGCGGGAGATGGTGGGGTTACGACGGCTCGTTTCGCCCTCGCAAGAATAAAGGTCTATATTTGTTTCGTATCCCAGGAGAGCGGTCTCTATTAATCGAGAGAGATCGCGAAGCAGGTGGACCTCATGAGATTCTTACAAGAGAAGAACGCAACCGATTTATCCTTGACAGATCTCCTTTCTCTTTTCCTTCGCACTTTTAGATTCATATCAGATTTTATCATGAAACATTTTTACGATATATAACTAATAACGCAGTCGCGATCGATACGTTATGATAAATAGCACGCGGATATATGGATCGATCATCTATACGCGATGATTATAGTAATAAGATTTATGACGATCGCGCAAGCTCGCCGATCGAGCGATCATGGGGCACGATCGATTCAATTCACCCGCTTGACGATCGTATCGCGGATGCAGGTTGATGCGATTAGGATGTAGGTATTATCGCGGTCCATTAGCGATTGTTTGCGAAGAAAACGGACGAGTCAATTGCCATCGTTCGGTGAATCATAAAGGCCGTATGTTACGTCGACGACCTCGAAAACTTATTGGAGCGTCGCTCCAAAGGAGGATCCTTTTCTGTCTGATTTCACGCGTTTTCCTGTCTATTGCATCGAGATGTACTTTTAGGTTTCTAGCTTGAATAGCTCTTGGCAATATCATCGAAATTCACGAGGTTATTGTGTACGTACCTTTATTACGTAAGATTACAGGTTTTACAAAACGAGGATCGCACGATCGACAGTTGTTGAGTACACAATTATACAAATGATGAGTTGTTTCGTAAAACGAGTCAAAATTGTCCAAGACGATCCGTGAATGTGGTCAGAAACGCTTGTCGCGCTACTCTAGATGGGAACACTGGTCCCATACATTCTAGCAGCAGTGGATTTCTTTCTTTTATGGCCCTGTGAAATTCCTCTTCGGATAGTACACCGTCGCGATCGATGTCGACTTTTTTCATCAGCGAATCAATTAAATCCTATAACGTCATATAATTCGTTTACTATTATTTGATTCGTGCGTATCATATTTTTATATTAAATATGAATTTTAGTGTCACTAACAATGCACATCTCTTAGCGACAACCAAAATTCTTATCAACAATATTGTTCATTAATTAACCTTGACACCTTCATCAGGATCGTCGTCTGTCTGTAGTTTAATCAGGCATCCGCGCATATATGGAAATATTTGCTCCTTTTTCAATTTGTTGGTATGCCAAAAATCGTATATCTATATTTTAATATCGTAATTATCATAATTAGAAAAATCGTTTCTAATTACAGTTTAATCCTTACGATTCTTTTTTATCACTAAATTAATTTCAATGATAAAAATATACATACATATCGAAATATAAAAATTTACATAGATTTACGTAGATTTACATAATTATAGAAAGATGAAGGTTACATTAAAAACAAAGTGAATCCTTTCGTTCAGATTGCCACGAAGAATTATAGAGAGACCTTCGATCCATTGTTCCAAGTGAATCTACATAACCGCATAATCGTAATGATTTATCATAAAATAGAAATTCTTAAATACTTACATTATATTAATTAATCATACTTGCAAGACATTTTTCTTGTCAAATACAGCGAAAATCCTATCGATGTACAAGTGTCGAATATTTTCAGTAAAATCCAAACCAGAATGTAAGACATCTCTAAACACCGATCTTGTCATAGGACCCAAAGTTTGTGTTATTTTCCTATGTATAACAGCTAACGCTGCAATAAAATTAATTAGTAATGAATTATAAAAAATATATAATCATTATATCAAATTAATGAGAAAAAATTTACGAAATAATATATTTATCTTGCTATATAACCTTCGATTTCTCTAAAGTTGAAATGAGTCTTTCGCGCTAGTTTTTTAAATAGAGCATTATTTTTTCTTCTAAAAACAATCTCCGGTAGAGGTTTGTTTAAGACATCAATAGATAATTCGGTCGGCATTCTGCTCTTGTGAATTTATTTTGCACTTGTAAATTTACTATTTAATGAATTTTGATGATCAAAATGTCAATACAGCTAAAAAATAAGACTATCAATTTTTAACATCATTAAATATTGGAGATACTTATATATGCCATTACTTTATTATTAACATTTTGATTTATTTGTATTTACTTTGTGCGATTATTTAAAACTTTATTTTTTCTTAATAAATGCGCAATAATATTTAAATAACAAGTATATTGTAATCTATCAAATCACATTAAATTTTTACTTTTTGTTCCATAAGTCCATTAACTTGTCAAATCAAAGTATCGTGTATATGTATATCAATAAGGCGATGGATTCGATTTCCTTGATTTATTTTACTTTCAATCGTTCTATATAATATAAATATCTTTCGATGAAGGTTATCTCTCTCCATAATATCAGTTTGCGAATAACTTAAGAGTTTTCCAATGCAGATAAATGAAGATTATTGTAATTTCTAATTAAGAATATTTAAAATGCAGATTATTTAAATAAATATTATTTAAAAATCTGCAACATCTTGTGCAATATAAAAATGCATTAATGCAATTTTTTTCAATCATATGTAGAGATTTTAATTTTTTAATTTGGTTGACTTTAAAGATCATTGATTAGACAGCTCAGTCCTTCTAAAACTCATAACTCGCACATCAACATCTCAGTTTCATCACATTCGAGATGTATAACTCACAAAGAGACATATATTGTAAAATGTACACAGGCTTCTTATATGGAAAGTTGCCACAAAAATATCCAACAATAATAAAGGTAGTAAAAATGTACAGCTGGTTCTCACGTATAGCCGTGAGAATAAGAGAAAAAGAGCTGTAATACCGCCTATCCGAGAAACGTGAGCGAGATGACGAACGAATTTCGGCGTGATAACCGATGAGTCGTGAACGCTTAACACGAGTTCGTTTCACGGGAGCCGTTCGACCGGCATAAAAGACGGCAATAAAGCCCCGCCTAAGTATATCTAATGACATCATTTGGTTGGCAAACGTAATAAACTGGCACAAAGCTACAGGGATTTCGTCGAGAATGTAAAAACGCGGGAACGGCTTAAGACGACGGAGAGAGGATAAGTCCGTATGAGCTCGCGCATGTTTTGCGGGGCCGCGTGCGAGGACACGGGAAGGTTGATGACGAGGGAGGTAGGTAGATGTCTGGAATTTCGTGCGAGACCAGAGTCCCTCGCGAACAAAAAGGAAGGGAATACCCACCTCCAATCCTTTCTGCTGCCATACGTGAACGCTCGCGTCGTTTTAAGAGAAATACGAGAGACTCGGAGACCCTGATGGCGCGCTTCAGGGCGCATTGTTTGATCGGCCGAGAAAGCAAATCCCCCATTGGCAAACGAAATACGGCTGATCCCCTCGAGATCATCAAGTCTTACTTCGTAAATAATGTCTAAAGATCTTTATGTGAGGTCGCGTAATACTGTGGATTTTTTTGAATTTTTCCAAGTAAGAAATTTTGCGAAAGGAGCGTTGCTCTGTTTCTCTCGTTCTATCAATAAAATTCTATAAATAATACGTTTTATTATTTCTTACAAGCGGCTTAAAGACGATCGGTCGGACAGCGACGAGAAAATGTACAAGTTTCTTTGTTTTTTTTTTTTTTTTTAAAAGAGCAGCCATAATAATTTCGAGAATCTCTTCGAGAGAGAACCCACGTCACTGCGTTAAATCTAATCAAGTCTGACGCATTCAGCACGCGGTCCATTCCCGAGTCAAGAATCCCATCGTACACCGTCGAATCCGTTCTGCCTTGGCCACGAAAAAATTGTCTCGATACACTTTCACGTATTCATCTTGAGCAATAACGAACCTGAGATATATCACCATGAACAAACGTCGCGCATCCGCAGGAGAGAACGCCCTTTTTTACCCCCGGTCCCTATAATCACGAGCTCATTAGTCCCCGCCGGCAGATAATTTACGAGCTGGACGTTGCTCGCGCGGCCGATCGCCGAGGGACCACATTGTTTCGCTTAAGTAGGCAACGAGCCCGCGAGAACGGCGAGGGATCGCTTTCGCGAAAGGTACTGTAATATCCTGGTCGAGAAAGAAAGATCGAGAGAGAGAGAGAGAGAGAGCGAGAGAGCGCGAGAAGCACCTTGTGTTTCTATAGCTCGAGCTTGGAACGACTGTAATCTTGGGCTATCTAACGTTGTAAATGTAGCGAGGTGATGATTTGCGACCTCCCTGCAGCTTCGTGGGGAGGATTGGCGTGTATAGGGGTACACTCGGACCTTTAGATTCAATTTCGCGGGGCGTCAGCCGCTGACGCGACGTCCGCCCACCTTCCGTGAGACGTTGATGTACGACACGGCAGACCGCAGTAGACTCCGGGACCCCTCTAGAAATTTTCAGACGCCGAATCGGCCACGGTGTAAAATAGCGACGCGATAGAATATACGGTTTCAACAGAGACAGAGTCGAGAAATTGCAAGAATATTTATTTCTTGAGGAATAAATTAAATCAAAGAATTATTTTTACATTTTTTCTCCCACTTAATTCTTGTTTTTTTTTTCTACCTATATCCAATGAAGATTTAGATTATTGCCGTGATTGAAAAAAATGATATGCGTCTAGCTAAAGTTATGGATTATGATGGCTAACATGTCCGTGAGAATCGAGAATACATTCGTTTGACATCCACCGTGCTTGAAGATATACCCGCATGAGTATCACTCTCTGTCGACGCACGCGATGTGGATACATCGATTTCGCTTGGTATGCCGGGTATCCCGAGTAGAGATGCAGCACAATCCTCTCTCAATCATCGAGAAGATCGAGAAAGGCTACTCAGACTAGTCGAGCGTTACGCAAGCAGTCGAACACGGGAAGTGGCATGTCTATCACTCAACGTACATACATACTCGCGTCGACAAGCGCTCATGTACGTGTGCTTCATGTGCAGATAGAGCATGATATTAAAGTCGTTTTAGACTGATGCATGACTTTGCGTAGGAAATATTTCTCCTTGCACGTGATTATTTTTCAATTTAAAAGACATTCGAGGTAACACTCGATGTGAAGAAGCTTGATGGAATAATTTAGGTATTCAAATTAAATCGTTTACCTAATGCGCTATTGCGATATCGATGTCGTTTGACGGCGAATCCAGCCAGACCGATGTATCACGAATTTACACGCTGAACTTTCGTGCTTCGCACGAGTAGCGAGGATATTCATAGCTCGGCGCGAACGAGCTCTCCTTCTACGTCATTTACAAACGGCAAGCGGTCCATCATAAATTTAGCGCGCTATCGCCTGCTGCGATCGTATTTATCTAACAAATAATTATTCCTGATTATCTCGCGGGTGATGCATGCCTCGGCAAACAGAGATCAAAGATACGGCCTCCGACATCCCGTGGGCCTTTGTTTAACGCTTAAGCAGCCGAAAGGTATTGGTCAACAATTTCGTTTTATTTACGACGTAGAGTGGTGATGGTGATGCTGGTGGCTGAGCTGGCCCGAACTTTAGAGTTCGAGAGCGAGAGGAGAGCGTGGGTGCGAGGGTTGAGCGCCTATTACCACAATTGCCTTGGGGGTAGCCTATCCCGATGTCTGCTGCAATCAAATTTTAGAGTTATTGCCATGTGACTCCACGTGGGCTAGCTCGGAGCAGCATAAACCGTGGAATAGACCTCGAGGAACAAATTTCTTTCTCGTAATATTTTGTGTCACGGATTATGCACGTATCGCGACAGCACAAGTTTGCGAAGCTTTATTAAAAATATTGCATGAAATTCAATGCAACAATTATATCATCAGTTGTTTAAATAATAGTTTCAATATCTTGCGATTCAATCTGTGTTTGATATTATTGAGATTATAAGAATTTATCTTTAAAAAATTTATTCCTTCTTAAAATGCTAATTATACAGCATTTATGATATATAAATCCATTTATCTCACGCAAGTCTTTTATGCTTCACCGTCGTTTAAATTGTCATTTATATCTAGCACGTTTGGGACTATAATTATGGGCAGACCCGGCCGCGACGAGATATGAGGATGTCCTATAATATCCCCCCCGACAAGCTACATACTAGATTCCAGAAGAAAACGGACTATCCATAAAATTTGAACAAACATAAACGATCGAGCACGGCCTTCGAGAGAAACGTATGCTGGTGGGGTTTAACGTGTCGTGGACATGGTATCGTTATGTAACAACATCGGAGTGAGTTGTACGACAAATGTCGAAAGAAGACTCGAACTAAGTGAACCGTGAATCGATGGGATCAACGGGCAGAGCGAACCGTGGGGATTTCCTCTCCACGGCCGTATGCCGCTATTGTTGATGGGACACCTTGGACGTCATGCCGCGGCTTTGTGCAACTGCGAGACTCACGAGCAGCGATGGACCAAACATCCGAGCTTTTCGGAAAATTGAATACGTGGGTGGCGGAGTCACTCCCTGCCTGAGACCTGAAATCCATCCTAATCAAGAGACGGAACATGACATGGTCAGATTTGTATAAGACGATGATTAAGCAAATATATGTTTGTATTCCGCACGTCACTTAGTCCTGATAAACCCATTTCTGCAAAGTAATGATAAAAGATAAAAAAGTTTTACGATAAACAATAAGTATAAATAATTATTTAAAATTTTAATAAGATATATTACATTTTTTGGTTAAACATTTCAACATTTTATGTAATAAAATAAATATATCGGCAGATTTTCTAAATGAAAATAAACTCAACTATATATATGTTTGATAAATAGCAAACGATTTCCGGTTGATATTTTTATCCCGCAGAAATTTGTTCAATCCTTTTTATAAATGAGAGGAAGATACCGACAAATGAGGTGTTAGACGCTCGTTATCTGCATCTTGGGGAAAGAGACTATTTAGTCGTTCTTTCACCATATGGAAACAGTCGTTCGTATCACCCTCTATCGACGTAGCATAGCTGAAAAATAACATCAGCTTTATTACAGCACGC